GGGGCTTTGCCCTGGGCCGCCCGGCCAGCCAGTGCCGCTGGGGCAGGGGAGCTGTGGGCCTTCTGGCACTGCCAGGCAGCACCTACCGCAGCCCACAGTCCTGTGCAACCTCCCGGCTCATCCTTCCACCAGCCAGGACAGGAGCAGATGGGAGAGGTCAGGGAGGTACTAGCCATGGTGCACGTTTACGGGCATACCCAGAACTCCGTCATCAGGACGGATCATATTTTCATGCACTATTTCTCTAAAACTCAGAATTTCATGCAATGACAGGCTCCATCCCCATGCCCAGCAATCCTGGAGCCTGAGGAAAAAGATGAAGTTAGTCTTGCTGTCTTCACCAGAACTCTCGATATTTTGTTCAGCACAGATTTCACCGTGGTCTGTCTGGGGAGGCGGTCAGAGGCAGGCTCTGGAAACCGCAGGTACAGTGGCCCTGCGGCCCTGTGCTGAGGCACAACTCAAGACAAACTGATCTTACGCCCGCAGGTGGTGCGGTGGTGAAGGTGCTGGTCCCACATGGCCAACTCAAGCCCCCAGAGTACTGGGCCAGGAGTAGGCGACCGTGGTTCAAGTTCTGGACCTGGCAGTTTAAAACTCACACCAGGGACATGTGTGTGCATGCCCCAAATCCCTAGAGATGACTGGAAGAGAAGGGAATGCAGTGTGACCATTCCCCTTGGGGGGCGATTTCTCGCTTTCTGTCTCTTCATCGAGTGCATATGCCCTACAGCACAAATCTCTCTAGAAAAACATGCCAGGTGTATGTGCACATGTGCCCCAAATCCCAACTAGCAAATAAAGAAGGGATTGCAGCACAGCCATCCTACCTGGGCGGTGACTTCTCACTCTGTCTCCCTCCGGCAAGTGTACACGCCCTGTGGCAAAAATCTAAATTTGAAAAAAAGACACAGAAGCCAGATGCCACACGGCAAAGGCGGTCTCTGCCTGGGTGGTCTGCATGCACCAGGCGTGTCCAGGATTCGACGGGATGGAGGGCTGGGGGGCAAGCGTGGCCCTGTGGAGAGCGCCCCTCTCCTTGTCCCCTCCCATCTCATGTGAGCATGTACACACCATCATGAATAAAGAAAGACAAAGCAGCAATGTTGTCGGGGCCATTATAGGGCCCCTGCTGCTCAGATGTGCCATGTATTTAGCTACTGACTGAAAACAGCTGCTTGTTATGGGGGGAAGACGGAGGTGTTCCCAAAGTGCCCAGACCAAGATGATTACTGGTTCCCTCCATCCTGAGACTCCCCTGATCAGAATACACACACACACACACACACACATTTATTAATATATTAAAAAACAGCCGGTAAGCATGTAACATGTCCTGTGAGAAACACCCGGATTTCAGACGTATTAACATAAACTAAACGGCCTTAAAGCACAGGCAATACAGTAATACAGTTTTAATTTAGGATTCCTAGGCATGAATACCTGCTGGCTGGCAAATTTCTTGATGGGTGACTCTACAGGTTTACACAGACCAAGCCACACGGGTCACACGGCTCCGCTGTGAGCATCTAGTCCCTCCCGAATCCCTGACAGAGGGGCCTGCCCTGTGGGTATCACGTGACATCCCTTCAGCCCCCTCCCTTCCCATCACCCCAGCTTTCATTTCTTTTTTTTTTTTTTTTTTGCTATAGGGCACGTGTGCTGGCCAGACAGACAGACAGAAAGCGAGAAATCTCCCCCCAGGGGGATGGCCACGCCGCAATCCCTTCTCCTTCGTTCTCCTCTCGGGATCTTGGGCACGCACACACACGCGCCCAGCATGAGTTTTAAGCCACCGGGTCCAGGACGCAAACCACGGTTGACTATGTGGGAGTCCAGCGACATAGCCATTACACTAACTGCTGGTCCCCGCCCCAGCTTTCATTTCAAACCAAGTTCTCATCCAGTGGAGAGATTTATGCTGTCTGGCATGCTATCACGGTGATGGGGATGACTAAGGGATGACACTGAGGGGCCGGCCCCATCGCCGAGGGTTAAGGGAGCAGGGTCCCTGGTGGTCAGGAGCAGTCAGTCTGGATCCCAGGAAGCTGACAGCCAGCCAGTGTGGGTGCCTGCACGTCTCAGTTCCCATCAGGATGGAAAAGTGCAGAAGGGATTGCCGAGGACCACACCCCACTGCGGGAGGCTTCTCCCCTTCTCTCTCTCTCTCTGGCAAGCACCCGCTGGCAATTAAAAAACACACACAAAAAAATGACCGTCACAACCCAGTGAGCACAGGCTCCCTTGGTCCTAGGGGCCTCGGTTGCTGCTTGTAGCCTGTTTGGGGCACTGAATGGAGTAACAGTCTTGCTGATCTCTGGTATCCTCCAGCAAGAAGCAGGGCAGCAAAGGCCAGGACTCCCACCCTGTGGGGCCAGGATGGCTCCGGGGTTGTCTAGCCCAGGTGGGGCCCTGCTCAGAGACCAGGGGGATCTCCCAGGCTGCCCACAGCCTGTAGACTGGCCAGCCAGAGGGAAGGAGGAAGGACAGAAACCGGCACTAGCCCCACCCCTATGAACCAAGGAACCACCCGAGCTGAGCTGAGGATGCACAGGGCCCCACAGAGCCGTACTGGCTGGGGAGGAGGGGGGAAGATGGCTGCAGCGGTGGCTCCGGCCCTTTTCCTGAGGTCCAGGTGGGTCCCTAAGGTGGGATAACTTCGCCTCCTCCGAGGGAGAACCCCCAAGAAGGTCCTCTCCTGGAGAGGAGATAAGGTCATCTCTGCACCAGTCCCTACAGTGTCCCCCAAGCTACTCCTGTCGCTGACATTCTTGGTGGCTTCTGCGTTATTGCTGCCCGGACAGCCGAGCTGATGTGCTCACTCAGGGCGCTCCACTGACCTTTGGGGTGACTACGTCTACAGAAAACACAGCAGGAGGGAAGCGACCTCCGACTCAGCAATCCCCCTGCTTCCAGCCTCAGCACCATGGC